GGTGTGGGGGGGGGACTATTATCCAAGAGAAAATAATAATAAAAACTGTTTACAGCCTCCAGTTCGTCTCTGCGAGAACGCTTTGAGAGCACGAGCCAGAGGATGTGGATTAGGAAATATGACAGAAAAGGAAAGAAAAACTACCTGTTACAACCAACCAGCTCTGTTGGGAGGGAAGTTTACAAAATGTGTGTGTGGGAGCGGGGTAAGTGGTTCCACAGAAATGGAGCAGATGTACAGACAGGATGCTGACTGGTGTGGTAATGAGATGATTTGTCACCAGGATTGTTGAAAAAAAAATCAGCCAGGATTTGTAAATAGACGTCTGGTTAGAACAGATGAAGTAAATATGTTTAAAGTAGAGGTGGATGATTCAAGGCTTCAGATAACAACTTCCATACGTTGATACCCCCCCCCCCCCCCAATGCCGTCCTTTCTTCATCACTAGCTAAATTCCCAAACCACGCAAGGTTAGATAACAGCTGAGGCGAATGCTGTAAGCAGGCATTCATTCCCTGCCTTATCTACCATCTCCCTCCCTGGGCAGCAGTAGCTGAGTTTCCATTATGTATGCAAAACTTTGTCGATATTCTGTTAATGTTGAAAAAACACAGTTTCGCAACTGAGGTGTTTCCATTAAGTAAGAAATGCTATTAAAGTCACGCGTGAATACATTTGTTCTCATGATAAGTCATTATAACATGGCAGCAATGGATGTAAACACACAGCATATTGCTACCACGACATCATCAGAGGAGATGTCGGCATCTTCTGTGATTTTTCTTCTACTTCCTGTTATCTTCTACATCGTCGTCTTTTTCACCAGTAGAAACAGCCGGTTGTTGATCACGTGACTCCCGTGATGCGAAAAAAGTGTTTCCATTGCAGTTTTGCAAAATACACCAATTTCGATACGGCCGAAAAACCACCTCATCCTAGTGCAAAAACATTTTGTCGAAAAACTTAATTTTTTTTTTAAATTTACGTGTTTCCATTGAGCAAATTTATTTTCGAAATTCTAATTTGCGCATTTTCATGGTCATTGGAAACGCAGCTATTGATACACATCACACATCTCTCTTTAAAAATCAGATGTAAAAATAAAATTTGAGATTTCTTATTTTGTAGTCAAGTTTGACAATAAATTAGGACTATTTAATTAATGTCCAACACAAAAAGACCCTTCAGGATTGCAACCTGAGCCAAGTGAGAAAGTGGTCCGTTTCTTCCTAAGCCCATTTTGTCTTTAAAGAAACTTCCCGACAAGTTGGATGGAAGCTCAACATCATGTCTGCGTCCACAAATTATATCACAAGCTGTCCTTAAAGGCCTACTTTGATGTTTATTTACTGTTATCTCAAAGGTTTCCTTTGATCCATAAACTCTTCCCCAAGGCTCTCCTCTCCTCAGATATGAAGAGATGCTGGAGGAATGAGGCTCGTCTTTGCCACATGCCTTCGCCCTTGGCGTTCTCTCCCTCACCTGCTGCCTGCCAAGGCTCCCGGCTTCTCCGTCCTCCTTCACCGCTCTAGCCACAGCCACGGCTGGCATTCTTCCCCTCTATTCATTATACCACCACTCCATCAATGGCTCTTTCACAGGGCCAGCGGTGTGGGGTTTGATGGGATCCGAGCTCTTTCTGAGGAATGCTGCTGAGCAGCTTTCCTTGAAACATCTTCTCTCGCATGGCTTCTGTCATTTGTTTTTTCACACCTTTCACCAATAACGATTCACTCAACTAACAAAAGAACATTTTTCTATATCATCCTCTCCAAAAGATGGATGACCGTTTCCCAGCACTTTGGTCTAACATTGAATTAGAGGAGTCAAGTTGCTCAAAGATGACTTCACATTTATTCTAAACAAAATTGGTGCAAAATGTTGCCCTTGTCTGATGTAAAGCTCTGGGGTCAGATTTATAAAGGATTGCGTGGAAACCATACTAAAAGTGAACGTACGGCCAAAAGGCGGAAATGGCGTACGCAAAAAAAAAAAAAAATAATAATAATCAGATTTATAAAACCGTGCATTCGCATGTTTCTGCACATCTTTCCTTTTTAGATCACAGCTGCACGTCAGAGTTTGCGCATGAGGTCCCGCCTCAGGTTCTACCCTCTACACGCCCACATTCAACCATAAACAGCCAATGTAAAGTACCTCATGAATGTTAAGATGTATTTAAATCAGTCAGCTGATCAGTGATTGGTTCAGACACGCTCCGTCATGCGTCTGGAGGATGACAGGTGCTGACTGACAGCTGCTCACGTGAACAGAATATCTGTAATTGACACAGATTTTCCCTCATTTTGCCTTAGAGTAATCTAACGATTTTTATAAAATAAAAAACTCAGCCTCAACTTAATTTTCTCTCAGAGCCTGCAAGATGATAAAAATAATAAAAAATTAAATTAAATAAGTCAGATAAAATTAGAAATAAGTCCACTGCTCCTCTCCTCGTCCTCTCCCACTCCTGCCTGCTCTGTTATCTGCAGCAGACAAGTTTGGATTTTATAAATCACAACCTTGGCGTAAAAAGTAGCGTACACAAGTCTCTGGGCTCATATTGTGCGTATGCAAGTTTTATAAATCTGACCCCTGAAAACAGGTGCTCATTTTCTTTTTAAGAAGGCTGTATTAAATTAAAATGTTGCATTACTACACAGTTCTGTAACAGTAGTTTTGTTTGGGATACTAAAACAAACGATTATTCAAAAATCTAATAATATATTCCAACTATTCCACTGACAAGTCCTCTGGTGTTTGTCTTGTCAAACAATGCAATGGCAAAAACACTTTTCACTAAATCACCAAAAATAATGACCATTTGCTTGTTTCATTTCTTAATCTTAGTAATATTTAACTAATCCACAGCTAAATATGGACTGGGTGGAAGCTATTGAAATCACACACTTGCAGACAATAGCTAATCAGAGCTCAGTCTAAAATGATTTCACAAATCCTTGAGGATGATCCTTACCTTGGCCTCACATTTCCTGTGGGTGGCAGTTTTGCATACTAGAGGAAAGGGGAAAAAAACAGAAAAATTAGAAATGTTAAAGCTACAGAGTCAGCAATTCTGCTTGTTTTTTTAATTGCTCATTCAGAAACTTTTGTTAACTTCTCAGTTTTTGTCCAATTCCTTTGAGCCATCAGCTCTTCGGGACTCTTACCTCTGCAGAAGGAGCCCACGTTGTCGATGTTCTGTCGACACACACTGCACTGTCGCTTCTTCTTGAACGTCTTTTCCTTGAAGACGTGGGGCTCTCCCTTTCCAGACTGATTAAAAGCACACAAACAACACACATCGTAGTTTAGTAACCGAGTCAGACATTTGAAATAGCCTTTGATGGAGCAGCCAATAGACTGCTGCCTCTTACGGTCTCTGGAAACAACAACAAACAAAAATCTTATTTGAGCTTCACCTCAGAGCGTAACTTTTGTCTTTTAGGAGCCAATTTTATATTTAAAACACAGCTTTTTGACAGAAACAAAGAGACTGATTGATTGAATGCTTGCTCCGGCTGTCAAAATTCAGGGGGCGCATCCTCTGAAGGCTGAAATTGTTGGCTGCTTACATCACACCGCCGCACCGGAGGCTGTCCAAACTCCGTTGTGTTGCTAATGCTTTTGTCATTTGTATAGAGCATTTTTTAATATTATTCTTGTCGGAAATAAAATGAGCATTTATAGCAAAATAAATGTGCACCTACAGTGGGTCCCTTAGTTCTTCAAATATTACCTTTAAGCTAATTTAATTGTTTTGTGATATTATATGAATATATTCATATTTTGCTAATTTTGATCTATTTTTGCCTCTGTTTAGCGTCGTCGGGTAAGGGCGGGAATAAAGCAGAAGACTAGACCATCCAAATTCACAGCCACCTTTTTTGTTGTCTTCGCTGTTGAACAAGGACTTAGACCGGGTCCTTCGAAGGACTCAACCCCTGAATTTGGACACAGCCGGTTGACTGCATTTGTACACAGGATTTTAGATAGATCAGTTTTACCTCATTCATACGACTGACCTGAGTGAATATTTCTCTTTATGCATGAATGTATGACGTGCACAACTGCAGCAGCGTCAATCTTTTGTCTTTTGCCTTTTGAACCTCTGTTCTGGTTGTGTAACTGTCTCTCAGTAATAATCCCCGTAGCTCCTGCCCATGCCTTTTTTATAATCCTGTGTTGTGTGTGAATGAAAAGAAGTTACATGTGTGAAAATTAAAAGAAAAAAGAAAAAAATTGAACATAGTGTTAAAAAAATAGCTAGACAGGTTGAAAGTGTAAGAAATTAACTACTTTTCTTCCACATGCTCACGTGATTGCATGTGCGTGCGTGGAAATCACTCCCGCCCAGTGCCTCTTTTGTTTCCCAACACGGGATTATGTACATGGCTGACTGGGCTTGACGTGACTCTGTGGCGACTTTGAACATGAGAACCCCAACAACCGAGGGCCAAGATGGAGGACAATGGGAGGAGGAGGAGAGGAGATGGGGAAAAAAGAAAGTTGGAGACATTGTGAACAATGTGCAGTGTCATGCTGAGAGGCAGCATAGATATTCTGGAAACTAGAAGGCATCTAATCAAAATTACAGGATTTGGTTCCCAAGCAGAGATAAACTATAAGCATGCACATTTTCATCAGAAAAAAAAAAACCATCCTTCTCTGATATAATGTTCATTATACAGCATTATTTTTATTTTATTTTTTACTCGGTGTGTCTTCGTTCATTGTAACATCACACAACGGTTCAGTTTGTGCTTTTTTCCATTAATCTGCTGTTCTCGCTGTGTTCTGGGACTGGGCTGTGTTTGGACAGCTGCCTGCCTGGCATCACCCTCAGCCAGCTGTGTTCAGCGGCTGCTGGCATATTCCTCTACAAGTGTTCTATGACCACAGCACCATGGACGGTGGAGCCGGACCAAGTGGGTGGCTTAGGGGGGGCTGATGATGTTCATGCAACATAGTCTGCTTGGTGGGAGATGTGGTTGCTTTTGGGGGTTATCTGGTCACTACAGAACTGAAGGAAGAAAGTAAGATTGTGTCCACAGAATCAGCACAAGAGATCAAATTTAACCAGAGCTGCATCTTAATTCAAACTAATCCAAATTTTGGATTTATGGATACAATCTCAAGGCAAAGTCGTGGAGAGATGGTGTCAGGTTTGAGAACCACATGGTTTTACATCTGTTTAAGCAGTGGACTCAGTTTTAGAGATAAAGGTGAGGAGCTTTGTCATCAGAGGGAAGCATAAAGAGTCGCTACAGGATAGCTCCTGGAACCACCCTCTGGAGGTTTTCTGGGCACGTCAAACTGGGAGGAGACCCTAAGCAAACAGAATTTTCTGGAGGGATTATATATCCTCTCTGGCCTGGGAATGCCTTGGGAACTCCGAGAGTGTTATTATGAAAAAGGATATATTAAATTAAAAATTATGGCACCAATAATTGCTATGTCAGCTGCTGATAAAGAGGGCTCACCTCCATTATCCTTCACTCCTCTTGCTTATTAATGGAGCTCCGCAAACACCATAAAGCATAAAAGACTTTGCAAAAACATTATTTTTGTGTTTGCAGACTTGGTATGTGATCATTCTCATCTATAAAGTTGTGTAATTGTTTGGTAAAGTTTCCACACACATTAGTTTACACACGAAGCCGCAGTGAGTTTAAAAAAGCAACCAGTTACAGTCAGCTGAGCCACAGTGGTGATGTGGGCTAAGACATAAACACACAGAGGAGAGGCAGGCAGCATTCTTCCTGCTTCAGAAACAATCAAGACCACTATATAGCCCAACCACATGCAATCATGGTCAGACATCTCTGCCACTGAGCACTCTATAAGGTGTTGCAAAGCTGCTGCATGCTGGTTCATGGAAGGGGAATGGAGGGTGAAACCACATTTAGATTTTGACACTTGTGTGTTTTGGCACTCAGTGGAGAAAGGCATACATTATAAAGCAAAGGTCAAATGCTTAAACAGATTAAAAACTTTATTAACTTGGGAGATTTAGCAACTCCAAAATTTAGTACAGGGGTGAGCAACTATTTGTACCTCCACTGGGACTGGTTGTAAAAGGCCAGACCAACAGGCTAAACTCAGTTCTATCAATCCACCCATTCATTCATTTTCTTTTACTTGCTTTTTCCTTTCTGGTCTGCAGAGAGTTGGTGCCCGTATCCAGCAGTCAATGCCTTAATGTAAAAAAAGCAAGGTAACTACCATAACATAGTTGGTATTGATGACTAAGGTCATCATTTGGTGGCAAAAATTGAATTTTATCTTAATTATGATGTCAATAGTAGGCTAATCACCTGAAAATAAGAATAACTGATAGTGAACTAGCCCAGCAGCGTTTCCCCTATCATCACCCAAGGAGGACACCCTTATAACTAACAAACTATGGGTATATTATACGCTTCCTAAATGTTTAGAGGCCTGTGAGTATTGCAATTCCTGTGAGTATTGCAATTGTTGATGCTTGTGTCCTTGATGCACTTGGATGCCTGGGCTAAAAGTTTGTAAGGGCTGTCAAAGGGCTAAAAATTGTAGAAACAAATTGTATTATTTGTGGTTTAAAGCGTTCTAGTGACCTCTGTGTTGGTCAAAGAAGACCAAATCCTGGCTCGAATGAAATTATCACAGCTTAAACCAGATATACGCTAGGGCTGCACAATATATCGAAAATTTATAATCATCGTGATAACAGCCTGTGCAATAGGCATATTGCAAAAAATAAAAAATAAATGTATAAACTGCAATAAATTTTTGGCTCAAAATTTTGCATTTATGAGTTTTGTCACTCAGATGAAAGCTTTAAGTATTTTACCAATAAAATGGAGCACTTCATGTATTTGGCCAATTGGATGGATATCTTCATAATGCTGGAATGAAAAATACTAGTTTTTTTGTCTTTTTTTGCTCTGAATCCAGAGCAGCAAGACATCAACATTACTTATTTGTTAATTTATCGCAAGTCATATCATTATTGCAGTATTAAGCACTGCTATTGCAAATCGCAGATTTTCCTAATATCATGCAGCCCTATTATACACAAGTGTAAAAAACGCAAGTTTATCTTAAGGGGTTAACTTCATGAGCTGTGACTAAGCTGCCACTTTGGAAGTGCTATCATACCAAAATATCATCTACAGACATGTAACTTTTCAAACATTATGATGACGTTTTGCCACCCTGACCAGATAGTGAAGTTTTGGCCCCTGGCCCATGATTTAGAAAGATAGAGGAGCACCCTGGGCAGGATGCAAGTCCATTACATGGATACACAGAGACAAGACAACCATTCATACGCTCATCCAAACCCACGGACAACTAAGAAAAAACAATGCACCTAAGATGCACGTTTTTGTTCTGTGGAAGGAAACCAAAGTACTGGAGAAAACCCACGTGTGCACAGAAAGAGCATGCAAAAGCCAGGAGGCAAACCTGTGACCTTGACAATGAGAGGCAACAGCTGTAACCACTGCTGTGCCAACAATGTACAAAAACAACTGGGGAAACAATACGGTAAGAACGTGAAGACTTGTCACATGCATAAAGTCAACAAATACTTGAACATATTAAAGAAGTTGATCAAATTTTGTTTTCAGCAAAAAGATGCCACTATGGAGGAAAAAAACACCAGTTTTAGGCACAAAATTATTAAAACTGCAGTTACGGTGGATTTATTCATACTTCGGTAAGATAGGAAAGGTTAAAACTATTTTACAACAACTTTTTCCCCAAATTTCACGACTTAAACAACACAACAGATTCTGTAAAATTCATCCCTCAGCTCAACTTGGGAGTCCAGCAGAGAAAACCAGAAGGAAGGACGTTTACAGCTTTTGTGGAGAAACAGAAAAACAGCTGGTAGAGTGTGAGTGTTGGCTAAAAACAACCTGTGATGCAGAGCTAAGCCCCCAGGATAGTAATTACTGTCACCGCTGCAATGAATAAAAAAATAAAACTCTTCTTCTGGTAAAACGTGGAATTCAGAGCTCGTTTCTTGGTTTTTGGAGAATCTGTTACCGGTTAGATTGTTTCTGCTGCCTCCGATTAAAAACTGGCTGCAGAACAACAAAGAGCGTGCTCTTCAAAGAGGGCACAAACTGATTATATTCAAGAAAATGTATTAAAATCTTCTAATTAATCCTAAACACAGCCCACAAACACCTGAGACACTTTACTCACTCGCTCACGTGCAGAAGTGTTTGTCCCCGCAGACAGTCTGTTAAAACAAAACACAGTTGTCTCTTTTCCTTTTTCCTGTC